AAAAATTTCAACCCAACCTGCTAATTATGGGTTGGGTTCGGGTTGGGTTGGGTCGATTTTTGCCACCTCTAGTTTTCATAAATTATTGACAACAAATTGAAACGATTGAAAACTTGAAAGAATTGGAATGGAACTGAAGCAAGTGGTTTTCTTATAGATAGTCACCAAAAGACACCCCTCTCTCAATTGTTGTATATATCTGTTAAGAAATATGAATTATAAGTGAAATTATTAATTAATATAAACGATTACAAAGATGGAATAAACTAATTTCTTGAAACCTATACATGCTGGTCTGAGCTCCGTTTATTTCCATAAATAGCAATCCCTTGATTTACCAATAAAAAACAGATTTAAAGTGTGTGAAAGATATTTAAAAAAAACTACCAAGTACTCTCCTTACTCCTTAGCAATCAAATACGAAGAACAATTAAAATACACTTTTACAGAAAACTTAGTGAATCATAAATCAACTATTTTTGTCACAACTAGGAAATTCTATATCCTTGTAACTATAACAATGATAGCAATTGTAACCAAAATTTTGAAAGCACGCTTGGTGTTTATTCAATGACAACAAATTTCATCAAAAACCCTATATAAACACTTCAATTGGTCAACGAAAGATTGGAAACCCTAAAATTTCCGGTTTAAGTCCAATGTGGACTAGGATTTCCTTATTGGGCCTAATGGACCAATAAGTTTCCAATTTGACTATTTTGGGGCTTAGAACCCTTAAATGGGCTGTAATTGGACCCACTTTCATGAAACTAACATTTTGGGCCATAATGGATCCAAAATGAATTAGTTTATCTTAATAAGCCTTAATGGGCCATAAATCCATTCCTTTATACAATTTGGGCCGTGAACTACTCTAAAGGCCCAATGGGCCGAAAACTTTCTCTATGGGCCTTAAAAATCTCGAACCAAGATTGGAAGTGGGCCAAGTTAATCCATTTCTTCTTCCTTTAGCCCATTCTCAGACATATATATATATATATATATATATATATATATATATATATATATATATATATATATATATATATATATATATAGATAAAAAAAAGATATGGATTAAGGAGGAGTAGACACCTAGTTTTTATCTCTTGGATTTCCATGCAAGTTCCCATATCTCCAAGAAACTATCACTTCAAGCTTCTCTCTTCTTCCCTCTTCTTCTTGTTTCGGCCGAGAATCCCACACACACACACAACTTACTTGAAGTTTCTCTCAAGAACTCACAATAACAACCTCTTATTTCCTCTCAAAAAATTTCGAGAATCATAAGAGCTTCAAGGAGGATTTCATCCAAAAATCACTTCAAGTTATATACTAGTGGTAAGATCTTACAAACATACTTTCTTTCTACACTTATTCACTCTTCTTACCACCTTAATCTCTTAATCATTCTCCCTAGAACTCATCAAAATTCGAAGGACCCTTCAAGAAGCTTGCTAAGGCCGAAAACCACACCATCTCCTTCCATTTCTTCTTCAAAACCGAAACCACAAACCCAAGGTGAGTTCATACCCCCTTGTTTTCGGTTTTTACTTGTTTTTGGGGGGAGAATACAAGTGTTATGTGTTGATCTATGTGTGCTTGCATGTTATATGTGATTTCTTTGATTTATGTTGTGAAAAATTGTGTTAATACATGTTATATCAAGAGATCTATAGCCAAAGTGTGAAAGATTCATAAACAAAAACATAATAAGACAACCTACTTCAAAGATCTAAGAGTCTTTAGGGTTAAGAAGTGAAAACAAAGCCAAAAATCTTTATAAGTGTCATTTATGCAAAAATAACAAAGATTTGGGTAAAATATGATATTTTCAGTTTTATAAGGATAAAATAGTATTATTTACATAAAAATCTGACTTTTGTGAAAATAACACTTCTCAAGGGGCCAAAAACATAAATTATAGCTTATTGGGCTTACATTTGGGCCTCACGGGTTTTTGGGCCCAAAAATTGCGAAAATGAAGAATTTTAGGGACTGAAATTGTAAATTCATAAAAGTATGTGTCTAAAACATAATTAAACTATTTTTGGGGCTGAAAATGACCCTTTTTCCTAAATTGGACTAAAAATGCAAAGTTTTTAGATTTTGGGCCAAAAGTGTAAAACTTACGGCAAATCGGCCAAAAATGTAAAATTTTTACAAATAAGGGTTGGAAATGGAAAATAAAATAGTTTTGGGCTGCAATTATTATTTAAATTATGTTTGGGCCGAAAATGTCAAGAAAAATGGTTTAAGGACCATAAATGTCAATTTTCATCAAAAGGGACTAAAAGTGTCATTTTTATTAATAAAGGGGCTGAAATGGTCAAAACCAATATTTTTGGGTCAAATAGGCTAATATTTAAATTATTAAGTCAAGAATATTTAACTTATAACGCATGGTTTTTAAAATGTTTATATATATATATATATATATATATATATATATATATATATATATATATATAACCAAAGCTTCGTTTTAAATCAAACGTCAAAGTATTTTTAACATCGCGAATAAACATTTGGTATACAACAAAACCTACACTACGAACTTAAAATCGATAATCAGATAAATGATACAATGATTGGGCCCAAAATCTTCTATTCGTGCTATTGGGCCTTTGTGGCCCAATTTCATGATTAATGGGCCCAATATATTCAAACATGTTTATTGGGTCTTGGTGGCCCAATTACATGCCCAATGGGCCTTTATCAGCTTTAACATGCTATTGGGCCTTAGTGGCCCGTTTGCATTGCTAATATGGCCCTAAACATTCATCATATGCTTAATGGGCTATAACGTGTCCGTGACATACTCGACAGCCTATAATAACATACATGATTAGTGGGCCACCGTTGTCCTCTTTGGTGTCTGTTAGGCTTATTTCATATTCACGTAAACATCAATCGGGTTGTAAAACAATGTTATTCAATTTCAATGGGATTTAGTGAGAAATATCGGCTGGTACCAATAAGTGTCGGCCGTAGCCTGTAGTTATAATCAGAATCTCCTGGAGGGAGAGCGATAGTTTGTGTATAGATCTATACGGTGGTGACTCCCCTACACCTGAGTTGTTCGCTACAGTTAGACTAGGCCAGTCTAGGGTGACAAAAATCTTGATCAAAACGGGCGTTTGGAAAAATGCCAAGACAGGCGAATTAGTCACTATTATGCATGGTTATAACGACTCACATAGAGATCCATTACCATCTAAGTATTCATGGGAAATCATATTCATACACTGAGGCCATACAAAGTGATTCACACGATAATACAAAACTATCATACTATCTAAATCGGAAAACATCGGGTTTTCCGGGAAACGACGTTATTCATTTCTACATACATCAACTTTAATACAAGGAACAATTATGATAGTCATCCACTTCTATATGTTTTGAAATCACATACATATTCACATATTGGATCACCACATCATGCCGTAATTAGTTTTATTACATGAAATATCGGATTTTCTGGGTTTTACAAATAATACAAACCTTTTATATCAATCATGCTTATGAACTCACCAACATTATAAATGTTGACTGTTTTCAAAATAACTTGTATTCTCAGGTAATCGTTAGAATGAAGAATCATCAAGTGTGTGTTTTCGAAATTTCTTTTATGTAATGTCAATCATCAAACAATTTATGTTTTGGATTATGTAATGTAAAACAATGTACTTGATGTGAACAATGTCAGTTGTAATATATTGATGCATGGTGATGTTTATATTATGTTTCATGTATAATCATTGTGATGATATTTCAATTTAAGTCACATGAGCCCTCAGACGTTTCCGCCGTCTGGTTCGGGGGTGTGACAATTTTAAACAATAACTAACCTTTAAGTGAAGAAGCTACTAAGAACATAAAAGAAGTATTAAGAGAAGTTATCAAATTAACAAATAAATAATTTATGAAATAAATAAAAGGAGTCATCCCATTAGCAATCCTATAACATAAACATTGTAAACAATCAACCAAGTAACCTTTTTAAGTTATTATTATTATTATTATTATTATTATTTATAAAAGTAATATTTGTGTATACTTTGCGAGCATTGGCTTAATGGGTATGCTTGGAACAATTGATAATGTTGATGAGAAAAATTGAACCCCTTTATCCATCAAAGAAGAGATGAGCAAATCCTGAAGAGTAAAGATTATAAAGAAACAATAATAATCAACTAAAGGAAAAGGGTATATCAGTAAAAAAAACCACAACTATAGAAAATCAATCTTGGAATCATCAACAAAGGAAAAAAATGAAGGAAGAACAGTTCTCATCATGGCACCGATTCTTAAATTCTTGACCTACAAAAGGAATTTAAAGATAGAAATCAAAGAGTTTTTTTAAAAAAAGTTAATAATTAAAATGTAAAAAAGTTACCGGTGACTATAAACTTGATGTCCATCTCTACAAGATCTCATTAGATTAATAATGGAGGTTTCTCTAACGCCCGGTACTTCCATTACCTGTTTGTAAACTGATCAATTCTATATTTTATATAATATACAAGAATAAATTTACAGGGGGCAAAATCGTAAATAAATTTCATACCTTATTTTACGAAGCATTGAAGAGGATCGGGAAGGAAGTGACGATATACAGAGAAGTGAATCACAGCCAAAACAAACCAAAGTAAATTGTTTTTATATCTTAAATAATAAAACTTGCTTCACAGAACAAAAATAAACACCGAAAAGCTCATCAAGTCAATTCAAATCATCAAAAAACCATCAAAACCCACATAAGATTCTCCAAAAGCACAAAAATCGAAAGTAAAAATTAATCAGAAGATTGGTTTTATCAGCTGATTAGCCGATATCTTGACCAATAATAAAAGAGACACAGATATAGACAAAAAGAGGGCGAGCGGATGAGGCGCAGGACACCCTATTGGAATAGAAAAAAACGATAAGTAATTATTAACATACCCTAAATTCATACACGTAAACGTAACTTCTCTAAGAGGAATAAAAAGATCATGGTGGTTGGCGACATGAGAACTGGTGGCTGCTGTGTGGATTTAGGGCTACAGAGGGACAACTCCGTCGTCTTCTGGTCCAGGTTTGAAGCAGAAAAGCATCTTCGCTCTGTCGGTTCTCCGCAAAGGAGACTCTTTTCTACATCGGAACATCGGAGAGGGAAACGGCGTCGGAGGAAGGCTGAGGGAGGCAAGGTCGGCGGTGGTGTGTTGATGGAGGTGGGAATGAAAATTAAGAGGGAAAACGGAGGGGGTGTTTGGGATTACTTTTTTAGCTTAAAAGTCATTTTTGTAAAAGGACTTTTTGTAAAAAGAACTTTTTCCAAAAGAAGTGTTTTAAAATGTGTTTGTATTAGCTTTTAAAGGTTTTAAGGGGTACAAGCCAAAAGTCACAAAAAGATGGGAATTTGTGACTTTTGTCCGACTACTTTTTCTTTGTTAGCTAAAAGTTGTTTTCAGAAGGACTTTTGCATTTACCAAATAACTTTTGAGATTTTTTAACTTTTTGAAAAAGTTAAAAGTCAGAAAGTTGTTTGAAAAGGAATCCCAAAGGGCAAAAATATTGGAGTCGGTGGAGGATTTATGACTGGCAGGGGGGGCTACAACAGTGTTGTGGTAAATGTTTAAAAGCTAGAAAATTTTGTGGCAGAAATCTAAATCCCAAAAGTTTTCTATTGACCGAATCAATGTGATTTAATATATATATATATATATATATATATATATATATATATATATATATATAACTAGAAGGGTTTCCCCGCGTTACGGGGGTTGGAAGGTATTGCTTTTGTGTGAAACTATAGTACATTGTCTGAATTGGTAGCCACAGTAAAGCATATTGCTATTCTCAGCAATTCGCCCATTTACAAACACATAATAGTAAAATATGTTGTAGTATCCTATAAAAAGTTTTGATTCGAGAAAATTTTGAAATCTCATCCTTTGACATGTCCACCATCCACAATTACTTTCCATGCCTTCACTTGTTCCTCGCAAAACCGGATATTAATGTCGCTTCACAAAAGGGTAAAATAGTCAAGCTATAAATGAACATAAAATCAAACATTTTTCAAAAAAACCATCTTAAAATGTCATAGAAACTAATTTCTCTAAAGTACACTGCTAGAAATGAGCATAAAATCAAACATTTTTCCACAAACCATCTTAAATTGTCATAAAAACTAAGTTTTATAAAATACACTGCTATAAATGAGCATAACATCCAACGTTTTCCCAGAAACCATCTTAAAAAGTTATAAATACTAATTTTAATGTATATAAAAAAGTAAATAAAACCAACAAATTTTGACGGAATAATAGAAATACTCAAAATACGTAAATGAATTTGTTGGAACTTGAGATTTACCTGAACTTTGTTTGCTGTATCTCCTATATGTTTCAATCTTCCCTCTTTTCCGTGAATTTTGATAGGCAACTGAAAAAAAAATGAGATGTGATATTTAGTTTTAATCAACCTCCTGATTAAAAAAATAAAAAAATAAAAAAAAACAAGGGAGTCAACTTGTTTTTGGAAGTTTTTAATATCAAAGGTAATTAGTAAGGAAAAGTTAGACTCCTGAACGTAAATGTAATCCTTTAATCAATTTCCTGTTTAAAAAAAATTGCTTATTAAGAACTAAAGCAAAACTATTTCTGAGTCTTTAAGGAGTAACGTGTCTGACCGTTTCAAAACTATTTTTGAATCATTTTCTGCAAGAGTTAATCAAGTAATCTCAATCAAACTCATGAATGATGATGATCCACAGTTAGTAATTACCAAAATTTACCTAAGAGAAAATATTAAAAAATACCATTAGAAAACTATTTGCGAGTAATTAAGAACTAAAGCAAAGCCCCCTATGAAGTGAAACATTTGATGACTTGCCACCCCCTGATGATAGTTCCATAATACTATGAAATTGTGTTACATTTATTACTTGTGATGTGGGATGGTTAAAGTTGAAAGCTTTGGTAGTTGTAGATGAAGTTGAGGCAACCCAATATTTGACTTTGTGAACCTTGAGTAAAGATGCTTATTTGGTTTACATGTTCTGATAAACAAATGATTGAATTTTCTCCGGTTCATTCCATCAAAATTAGACCCATCAAAGGAATTGGCGATTTTGTAGATCGACTTATTAAATTAGGCAATAAAAAAGGGAAAATTTCTATAACCTTTCAGCAGGCGAGCTGATGAGATAAATCATCATAATTCATACTGTACCTTCGAAAGAGTAGATCAAAATCCGCAAATGAGGATTCAAATTTAGCAGCTTAATTTTGGGTTTTAGTATAAGTGTGTAATCTGAATATCAGAGAAAAATCGATATGGAAATATTCAAGCGATCCGTTCAATGTGAAATTTGTTGATATCGATTTCAAAATAATCGAAGAAAAAAAAATTAGCAATGACGATATTCAGTCCGACTTACAATGCTATTTCAGGTCCGATTGAGCAACAGGGATCAACTCTTATGACTGAGATGCCGATTAGGGTTCGTAGAGGGAAAATGAAGCAGAAGAGCTGTTGCAAGAAGGGATCAGGAGGCGGACAAAGAATTCCATACAGTTACAGAGGCGACGATGATTGGTCGAATTTAGGGTTGTTACCGGGAGGATACGCGGAAGTGAAGTCGATGGAGGAATAAGGCGGTGGATAATGGGTATGGAGAAAATTAAAAAGGCGCAGATGAGGCGGTGGGGAAAGTTTGTCGTGGTAAAAGGCGATTGGAAGAGGATGCGGTGACCCAAATACCCGAGATCAGTTCGCAAAGAGAAAGATAAAGGTGAGCAAATCGGAAAAAAGTTATTAAAAAAAAAATTGAACCAATAGGAACCTCTTACTGTTCCTAAGGGAACAGTTTTTTAATCTATATATATAATATAAAGATGGAGCATAAACAATTGGATAAAAGTTTCCTCCGTGAGGTTCCCAGGTTCGACTCCTGGCAGCGGCATCTTTTTTCTCAATAAGTTTTTCTTACATATAAATTTCCTTGTATGCTTCTTAAATAGATATTGTCAACAAAAATATATTATTTATATATCTATGGTTTATATTAATTTGTATGTTAAACGTTATCTAAAAATGTTATATTATAAAAATATTAACTTTTATGAATTAAATAAAATATCAGATAACCACTCTCAAATAGCACACTAAGCACCTCAACAATTCTACAATCCAACCTTGTGGCCTTTATAGGAATTAATATTTCTCAACGACAATTAGCATTGAATCTTTACAAAAGCAAATACATCGTTTCGTTGTGATATTATTACAAATAACATTTTGTAAAGTTCGATAAACAATACTTAATCCTCCCTAATAAATAACAAATTTATTGCCACATGTCCTCTTCTCTTTGCATTGGTCACACTGCATTTTCTAAGCATTTTTTATTTAATGTATTTTCCACATGTATTTTTGTTATTTGTTCCAGCAGATTTTATCAACTCATTAAATTATTTATGCAAAATCAGTATTAAAATCAATTAGAGTAATTCCCTTCAAAACTGCCGTCTACAAATTTGGTTAATGTAGAAAATCACACACCAATTTCAAATTCATTCATAATTGATTTCCAAAAATCTAATATTTTCGAAATCTCATAAATTTTTCTCATATACGGTAATCAAATCCAAAGATATGTGTAGGTTAAGCTATTTAATCTATTTTCCCTTTAGTATCGTGATTACTTTGCCGTTTTTTGAGATCAAGTAATTTCTCCTCTCCTACAGCACCAACTAAAGAAGGTTAGTTCTGTTAATTTTTTTTTTATTTGTGCTTTGCATCGAATTGTATATTTATTATGTTTAATTTTTTCATATGTGCTTTGCACACGTCGATTCCTCTGTGTTAATTCATCTGCATTTGTATAATACAAATATATTCCTCTTTATATTTAACTAGCATATATCATTCTACTTTGTTTTATACATCATTCATGTATTTATGTCTATCGTGTCAATATTTATGTATGAACAGGGGCAAAATCGTCATATATCGCTCTGTTACAATCCTCTTTACTTTTACAATCATATTCATCTGTGTTAATTCATCTGCATTTGTACAATACAATGTTGTATTTTACAACAATCAAATAACATTTTTTTCACTTTTTAATGAAATTATCATTTTACCTTGCATTAACTTTATATCAGTCAGCATGGGAACTACGATAAAGAATGAAAAGTTTATACGAGATACCAAGATACTAATCAAACTTTAAAAATCAACCATCTTTGTCTTTTCTGCAAATACCTATTGGATAATTCAAAGAAACTGGGACAATTTTAACCCATGGGTATTTTAGGAATTTTTTTGGAAACTTGCATTTTTATGTGTAGCATAATTACTGGTTTGCACTAGCTAAAAAACTCGAGAACAAGAAATTTTGGTACATTTCCTTTGACAAAATCTATGAAGGATGTGTACCACAAGGACTGCTTTTCCCCTGCTCAAAAACCAGTACAAAGGGCATGTTACTTTCGTCTTTTCCTTCTTTTTTTACTTCTTCATTAGCTATGTTGTTGTTGTGCTATAGGTAAAAGCAGAATTATTACATGGTCGATATTGATAACACTTTCCAGGATTGCCTTTTGTTTATGTATTTTCAGTTTTATGTTTATTTATTGATTCAACTTGATTTTCTTAATTCATTGTGTCATTATTTTAGAGATTTCCTTTAACAGATAGTCTATATGCAAAAAAACAGCATTTGCACTTTTATTTTTCTATCTAAAATAAGCATCATGTGTTCGTTTAAGTAATCACAGGCAAGAACAGATGCAGGATTTAATTATAAAAAGGTCAAGCAACCATTGATAGAAAAAAAGTCAAAAATATACTACTGTTAAAACAATGTGTGTTTGCTAATATGAATTATACTTAATAGATCTCTATAAATACTTCTTATTAGTACCATATGATTGATATTGATAACACTTTCCAGGATTGTCTGTTTTTTTTATGTATTTTCAGTTTTATGTTTAGTTATTGATTCAACTTGATTTTCTTAATTCATTGTGTCATTATTTTAGAGATTTCCTTTGACAGATAGTCTATATGCAAAAAACAACATTTGCACTATTATTTTTCTATCTAAAATAAGCATCACGTGTTCTTTTAATCAAAGCAGAATTATTCCATGGTTAAAAAATAAAGTTTCCAAGTGTTTGGAGCAAAAATCCTCCCTAATAAATAACATTTTTGCTTATCATTCACAATTCTCCTTTGCTAATCATTCTCAATTATGTCCATGTAATAATCAAAGTGATTATATTCTTTTACAAGTCATGGATCCAACCAAAATCACAATGATTAATGATCTAGGTCTCTCAAATGACAAATACACAATTAAGGTTCGAATAATCAGACTTTGGAAATAAAAACAACTGGGTCGAAACCGCATCAGACATGACAAATCGGAATGATTTTAATGGATGAAGATGTATTTAAATTGAATTGCTTTTCAACTATTTAATGATTTCATATTATCATATAATCAATTATACATTATTATGTTAATCATATAATTGTTTATTAATTAATTATTTATTTGTTTTTCGAAGGACAATAAAATTGAATGCACTATGGAGAAATCACATAATCATATGTGATACTGGGAAAAACACTTGAAGAATATGCTGATGTTTACATTGATCGGCCAACATTTGGTTTATATGTTGATGGTGTTATGAAGTTCGTGGACACTCAAAACAAATTGTTTTTTCAATATACCACTAGAGTAACCAAGTGCATTGATTTTAATAGGCCCAAGAATTCTATTGCTTTTGCAAACTTCCAAGATCTTATCGATAAGGCGATCACTTCCCCTATTTCTTTTGGTAAGTTCATTACCTTAATTTCACATTTTACATCTTATAATATTTTTATATAATTTGACCATCCTAACACTAACTATATACTAACATTTTGTGTCGTGTATATTATAGATGTCATCGGTAATGTTTTTCAAAGCTATCCACTGGAACCTGCAACCCAGAAACTGGATAAAAAAAATTACATTGAAATTGGAAGATTTAGAGTATGTTTCTTTTATGATTTTTTCTATTATTAGTTTTAAAATTGTTGTTTTAATTCATATACATTTAGGGGACGAAAAGTGTTTGCTACTTTGTGGGGAGATTACGCTGAACAAATTGATTCCTATGTATCCAAACACCGGGGGAATTTTGTAATGATTATTCAGTGTGCTAAGTTGAAGAATCACCAAGGTCCTTTTATTAATACAATATTTTATCTTTACTGTTTTCAATATTCATATAAGAAATAATTTAATCCAACATTTTTTTCATTTTCTTTTCAGGGCGTGCGTATGTGAATAACACATATTTAGCAACAAAGTTATTTATTGATGAGCAAGCTGAAGAAATTATTGATTTCAAAAAAAGTTTGATTGCATTTCAATCAAGTTCTTTATATATTACTATTATAAACTAAATATATTTTTATTGATACTATACTTACACTTTATTTGTAAACAGGTTGAATGAAAAAGAAAGTGGACCGACTTCTTCATGTTATCGTGCTAGAACGTCTTCCATCATGTATACTGTACATGATGACTTTCTTAAGAATAATAATTTCTACCAAATTTCTGCAATCCATGAATTAGATGAGGTATATTTACTTTATTAAATTTCCGATTTCGATTTCGATTTCAATTTTGATTATGAAATTTCCGATTGCAGAATTCAATTAGAATTTAAATGCTTTGAAAACTGCCAGCTAAATGATTGGTTCCTATTGATAATCACGCACCTAATTATTATAGATTCAATTTTTCGAATTCATTATTAATTGATTGATTTCCAAAAATATAATTTGTCACAAATCTTAAAAAAATTTCTCATATACAGTAATCAAATCCATATATATATATATATATATATATATATATATATATATATATATATATATATATATATGTGTGTGTGTGTGTGGGGGGGGGGGGGGGGGGGTTATAGTATTTAATCCATTTTCCTTCTCTGTATCGGCCTTACTTTGGCTTATTTTGAGATAGTTTCTTCTCCAAATTCATCATCGCCTACAACATCTAAAGAGGTTAGCTCTATTACTTCCTTTGCATCTCTACAATACATATAGTTTCTTGTTTATATTCCAGAAAAATATAGTATCTGTTTTATGCTTAACATTTAGACTTTTAAAAACGTCTGCATTGTCGAAATAACTAGAAAATAACATCGTACTTTATAAAAACATGAGAAAATAACATCATATGGTTGCATTATCTGTCTCATGTTACAAACAGATAAAATATATATATTTTTTTATTTTTTACTTTGTGATATACAACATTCATGTCTTATGGTCTATCTCTATGTTTGGATATTTTCTAAAAAAGTATTTCATTCCAATTCCTTTTACAAATTCTGTGAAAGATGCCTTTTATGGAAAAGGGTATGTTGTTACATTTTCAAAATAATGAGAATGCAACATTGTACTTAATGTATATTTTCGTATAAACAGTGACATGTAAAACTCACTTTAAAAAATATGGATAAAGGGCATTTTTGTCAGTTTTTATGGAATATATGATAGTAACCGGAATGAATCACCACTGAATTTTGGATTTCGTTATGTATTATCATATAACATCGA